TATATATAAATTTATAATATCAAATTATTATAAATTTGAATTTCTATTCAATTAATTTAATTAAAACAAACGAGTTAAATAATTTTCTCAAGAAATATAAAAATATATTAAATTATATTAAATTTCACCTAAATATAGTCTAAATTTAGTTCATTATTTACTGAGTGTATAAATTAATATTATTTATTTTGAAATTAAGCAATTCAATTACAGAAATGAATTGATTTATATTTTGATACATGGAAATTAAAAATAACAAAATGTAAATACTTATTCAATTTAAGAGATTGGATTATCATTACTCCTTTGATATCTAACAGTTATTTCAATGGTTTAACAAAATTATTTTTAGATCTGTATCTAACTATTTTTGGATACTTCAGCAAAACCGTTCTTTGCACGCACAACATGACAATCATCGCCGGAGTGGCGATTTACGATTGATTTGCGATCGAACCGGAAGCAAATCCAGTTCCCGGCGACTTGTGAACGTTTGAAACGTTTTGGATTCCTGCAGTCGCACGTCACGCTTCACGTTTCACACGCGTCTCGCGACACGTCCCATCCCGACACCGCGCTTCTGTTTCTTCGCTTCTAGTTTTTAATCGGATCGAGTTGACATTCCGCGCCAGCGATGACCGACACCGTTCACGGCGGCACGATTGCTCGCGCGCTGCCGTGCATCTGTTTGATATCCGATTAGGCGAGTTATTGCGGGAATGCTGAAATAAGCGAAATAAAATGTAAACGCGGAAGGAGATAGCCAACGACGGACCACCATACTGCGATCGCGTATCATAAATACGATCGACTGCTACAGTTTATTCCAATACGTTTGCATAAAACGGTAACTGGAAGACACCTCACGAAGCGGCGCTTATCGTGGTTGCAGTTACAATTTAATCCACTCCGTATATCGTTGCAATGCGCGATTGAAAGGGGTTTCAACTCAATAAAGTTGTCAAGAGGAAAGGTGAAGTGAGTTTACGCATCGAGCTCGAGTGCGCGAGAAGAAAAAGAAAGAAGAAAGGAGGGGAGGAAAAAAAAAAGAGAAATTACACCGGCGATGCACGCGGACGCGCGCGTACATGCGGGCTCACAGGTCCGCAATAATAATTTACCACCTCTAATTACATCCACGGTACTTTCCCCCGAAGTGCACTAATAACCCCGCCGGCCGGCAACAGGGGCAGCTGCGCCGTTTTACAAATCTCGCATTTACATTTACGACTCGTAACTTACGAGGTAGCGGCTCGTAAAGGAGCAGAGCGTTAACGATAATTGCAACCTGGCTACGTGGCGGCTACGTATATCGTTTCTGATAAATTTCGTCTTTAATTAATCCGCCGTGTCGACCTGACTCTCCGCGCCAAGTTTTCTTTTATGTTTGTTCGTCGCATCGCGAAGCATCAATTTCACAATAGCGTTGTAACGGAGTCCTCAATATCAATATGAATATGATTTGTGGCGGCAACGACAATGAAAATGAAAACGATCCAAGTTATAATCAGAGCACAGTTTATCGATAATCGCCCTTGTTCTCGAACAAGATTGCGTGGTCTCGAGAGGAAACGCTGGCCGATGAATTGTTGAATGAAGAATGGAAGGTGTAGAACCGGAAGGAACAGGCGGGCAGGAGGAAGTAATACGGCGATGTAATGCGACCCACGCCCGGAAAGATCATGTCTGTTTCGCGATGCGTCTGGCCTTGAATCGATATTCTAACGATAAAAAAAAACCGAGGTACCATGTGTCGCGCGGTGTGGCGTCTAGACGAGATTGTAAAGAAGCTGCGCTCGCCAAGGCTTTAATGCGATTCCATCCTAACAACCACGGATGCATCGTTCGCGCTCTTCGCGAGCGTCTAACTTGCTCTCAGATTCTCTCATTCTCGGTACTTTGCAATCTCTCAAATGACACCGCCGTCTGGCTGTCAGGCTCCATCGCCAGGCTGTAACTGCCAAGGAAAGGGTATAGTTTTTCTCTTTCTCTCCTTCTCGCTCTTTTTACGACGTTCGCCAATGACTTTCCACACTAGTCTTTAAAACAGCGATGCGATCGAATTGTGTGTTTGGATTCTGAAGGCGGAAGTTTCCGCGAAAAATGAGAAATATAACACGGAACATTTATTTTATACTTTTTCTTATAATATTCATGAATCGTTTTCATGATATAATAATGTTACATTTTATTGAGTGATATATGATTTTCCTTACTTCAAAAGTAAATTTAACAA